TTCCGCTCGAAGTAGTAGGGGGCTCCCACCACCAGGTCCTGCCACCTGCGGGGACAAAGGGACTGGGACACGGGACGGTGCCACCCCCCCCATACCCCAAACACCCCCCCCGGTGAAGGGGAGCCCCCTCAAAAAGTTCAGAAGCCGCAGCAAGATGCCTCTCCCCAAAAAGACCCCAAAACCAGGAACCCAAAGCAGCACACCCCCCCACGCTGCGAGCCACAGAAACGCCTCAGATCCTTAGGGCTGCTGCCCCAAGACGGACCCCAAAACGCCCCCCACCCCTCAGAAGGTCTCACCCGTCGTTGTTGAGATCCGCCAGGGCCACGGCGCTGCCGAAGTAGGGCCGACCTGGTGGCCCTGCAGCACGCAGCTCTTCTCCAGCGTGTTTTGGGGGCTGGTGCTCAGCAGGTACACGGCCCCCGTGTGCTGGTACCGGGGGGCCCCCGCCACCACTGTCACCCCGCGTCCTTATGCAGCACGCCGCTGCCCACACCGCCGGCCGTGTACCCTGCGGCCAAAACCCGTCGTCAGCCACCCCAAAATCCCAAACCACCTCCCCACCCCAACCCCGTGATGCACACCCCACCCTGGCCCCCCTTGGCCCTCCCTGGGGTCTCCAAGCCCCCTAAACCCCACGGGCTGTAGGAAACCCCCACGATTCCCCCCTCCTCCAGGTCCCAAACCAAACCCCAAACCAAACCAAACCAACCCAACCCCAAACCAACCCAAACCCCAAACCAACCCACAACCCCAAACCCTCTCCAGCCCCACAAGGAACCGGGGGGGCCCCCACCTATGTAGGTGTTGCCGTTCTTCTCATTGGGGTAGGAGAAGTCGTGCAGGTCCCACGTCTCCCGCATCAGCATGTAGTTGGTACCTGCAACGGGGTGGGGGCGATCAGGGGACCCTCTCCCCTTGCACCCCCACGAGCGAGCGCGTGCACGGCCGTGCGCGCGTGCAAATGCGCACGGAGATGCTTCCGTGCAGCGTTGCAAAAACACGCACACGATGCACCTTGCACAAGCATGTGCAGCTCAGCGCACGCGTGCAATTTTGCACAAGCGCAATTTTGCACGAGCGCAATTTGCACGAGCGCATGCACGCTCAGCCCCCCGTGTGCGGATGCTGAGCACAATTTTGCACGAGGATTTGCACGCTCAGCCCCCATGCAGGGACGCCACGAGGATGTGCGCTCACGGGAACGCACGAGGAGATCCTCGCGCGCCCTTTTCCCCCCTCCAACCCCGTCCGTGCACCTTGCCAGTTGTAGGCGCCGGGCGCCCCGAAATAAACGATGTTGGAGGTGAAGCCGGCGCTGGCGCCCATCTGGCACATGCCGGTCTCCTCCGCGTCCACGTTGGAGTTGCACAGCTCGTTGTGGTAGGTCTGCCACTCGTCGCTCAGGTTGAGCCGCAGGTCGTTGCCCCGCACGTAGCAGCGCCCCACCATGCGCCACTGAGCCTCGCTGCCCGACCACAGCACCCGGGTGTAGCGGTGGGCGCAAGCCTGCAGGGAAAACCCAAAAAAATGAGGCTGGGGGGGTCCTCCCCAAGTTTGGGGGGGTTTTTCCCTAAGTTGGGGGGGTTCTGGTTTGGTATAGGGTCACGGGGTGGTGGTATAGGGGTGGATGGATGGGCAGCGCGGTGCTCGCGGTGCGCCATCGCCAAAGGATGGGGAGGGTGGGGGGAGCACCCAGCTGCCCCCCCCCCCACCCTAATCCTGGGGGAGAGCATCAGCCCGGTGCACCCCAAGGGGATGGGGGGGTGGGGGCTGGCACCCAACCAGGGGGATGGGGGGAGGTGATGGGGAGCCCCTGCAGCGGGGTTCTGCAGCATCTCCGGTGCCAATGGGGGGGGGACACGGTTTGGGATGCAGGAATCCCCCCCCCCAAACACTACAACTCCCAGCACGCTCTGCCACAGCAAGCAGCCTGCCCCCAAGCCCCCTTCTGCATGCTGGGAGCTGTAGCCCCAGCCCCACAACCCCCCCCCCAAATATCCCCATGCACCCCAATATACCCAACGGGCACCCCACCAGCTCCTGGGGGCCCCCACCTCTTGCTCCCCCCCCATAACCATCCCCCTGCTGATCCCATTTCCCACCACGGGGCTGGAACTGGGTTCGTGTGTGTGCAGGGAAATGGGGGTGCACATCATTTTATTTTTTTTTTTGGGGGGGGGAATGGGGTGCACTCACCAGCACCCTCCCCGCCGGCTGCCGCTGGCTGGCCACCGTCACCCCCAGCCACATGTCCTGATGATGTACTTGTCCGGCTCACCTGGCCAGAGGAAATTTAATGTAAAAAAAAAAGTGGGGGACCCCCCCGTACCCCCCCCGGGGCAAGGGAGGCTTTAGGGGGTGTCCCGGGGTGGTTTTGGGGCGCTCACGCACTCTTGAGCTCGATGTCGAGCCGCTGGCAGTCGTTGTGGAGTCGGAGAGGGGGCAGGCGTAGACGGCGCCCGTCCTGGTGATGTTCTGGGGGTCCACATCTTGGGGAGCCCCCACCAGCAACCTGAGGGGGGGGGCACAGAAAAGAGCTGGGGGGGTGCTGGAGGTGGGAACGGGACAGGGGCAGCACACCCCAAATGGAGCAGGGGGGCACCGAAAACCCCAAAAAGTTTGGGAACAAAGGGGATGCGGGAGCGCAGGGCGCCCTCCTTGCGCCCCAAATTCCCATCTGACCCCCCCCCCTCAGCATACGGCGGAACAACTTGCGCCCCCCCCAGCCTGGCAGGCAGCCCCCTGGGAAAGGGGAAGCCAAGGGGGGGCCCCATGTGGGTAAACAGCCGCAGCCCCCCCCCCTTATCCAACCTTTGAGCCGCGGCACCACAGCTGCGTCCCATCCGACAGCTTCGCCGCCCCCCCCCCGGCACTGCCAGCCCAGGAATGCTGCGATAAACACAGCCCAGCCGGGGAGGGGGGGGGACACCAGCACACACAACCCCCCCCAAAAGCTCCCCAAGCCCAGCCCTTGCTTGCACGAGCCTGAGCTTGTCCCACCCCACGCGGGGGTCCCGGGGGTGCTTTTGGGGTGACTCAGCCCCCCCCCCCCCGGGGTCCCTGCGGTGCCACGCTGGGGGGGGGCACACTGGCATGCCAGGATGGATGATGTGTGGTTAATAATAATGTAGAATAAAAGCCCCCCCCCAGCACCCCCAACCCCAAACCCATCAGTGCCTAGGGAGGGGGGGATGTGGGGGTACCGGGGGGGGGGCTTGGGGGACAGTAGGAGGATGGGGGGGGGGGGGGGGCTGCGGAAAGGCCAGGCCTTTCCGCCGGGAAGTCCCGAGGACAATGGCGAGGAGGAGGCACGGCCGTGGGTGCCAGGGCAGGAAACAGCGTCCCTGAGCCCGTGGGGGGGGGACACATCCACGAGGAGGGGGGGGGCACAGACAGCGGTGCCCAGGTACCCAGCGCATCCCATGGGGGGGCACCGGCGCACTGAGCCCGTTCACAGCATCCCCCCACCCCACGGCCATCCTGAGCAGATGGGGATTGATTTTTAATTAAAAAATTTTTTTTTTTTTTTTTTGGAGGTGGGGGGGGACAGAAAAAGGGGCACGTGCCCCCCCCCCCCAAAAAAAAAAGCTGGCACCGGTAGCACGGGCGCGTCCGGGCTGAGTCAAAGCCCAAACGCAGGAGGAATGCGGGGCCCCAGGCGGCCCCGGCCCCGGCACGCCGGGACAGGCACCGAGCCAGTGGCATTGGGGGGGGGGGATAAAAAAAAAATTAAAAAAAAAATGGGGGGGGGAAAGCTGCTCAGCTGCAGAATCCCCCCTAAAAAAAAAAAAAAAGGGATGGAAATGGGGCTGGGGGGCCGAGCATCCCTCCTGGGATGCTCCGTCCCCTGGGGACACAGAGGGTGGGGGGGCGTTTGAAGGAGATTGGAGCCCTCATTTCTGACCCCCCCCAATTATTTTGGGAAGGGGGGGGTTGAAATAACAGGAGGGCACCGCTGCCCGCTGCTCACCTCCAAGGAAGTGACTCAGGGCTGTGAGTCAGGGAGCCCAGGAGGCTCCTGCCAGCACCGTGCCCCTCCTGGGGGGGGCACTGACACCCCCCCCATCCCAAAAAAAAAAAAAAAAAAAAAAAAGGGGGGGAAAAAACGCCAGCCCCCTGCCTCCAGCTGCCAGGGAAATGCTCAGAGCTGGGGGGGAGGCTGAGGATGCTGAGGGCTTCAGAACCCCCCCCCCAAAAAAAAAAAAAAAAAGGGGGGGGGGGCACGGGGCTGGTTGTGGCAGCAGCCCAAGGAAAAATAAAGAGAAAAAAAAAAGGGGGGGGGTCCCAGCCCAAGCGGGGGCCGGGATGGGGCTGAGCCAAGGCCTCGTGCTCGTCCTTTCCAGCCCATGGAGCAAGCTCCGGGGGGGGGGAATTGCTGGGGGGGGGGGGGGGGATGGAGGAATGCTGGAGGCCGGGCCCCCTCCTAATCCGCCCTGGCAAATGAAGGGGGGGCCCCTTCGGACCCCACCCCACAGCACCAACACCCCGGGGGGGGGATCGGGGCCATACGGGGCTGAGCTCGGCCCCAAAGGGCTCAGCTCCCCCCTTGCCCCCCCCCAAAAAAAAAGCTGGCTATGTGCCATATACCCCTCCATACCCCCCCCCCAAAATCCTTGCTACTCTGTGCCAGCCCTAAATCCCCCCCCCATCGCCCCATCCCCACCTCTGGTGCTGTTACAGGAGCATCAAGAAGGAGGGGGGGGCTTTTAACCCCCCCCCCCAAAAAAAAATCCCTGCTCAGCCAAATCTGCTGATGCAGGCAGCACAGAGGAGGCGGGCGAGGGGGGGGGTAAAGGGGGGGGCTCCAGCCCCTGCCAAGGCGCCGCAGCCCCCGGCAGCTCCCGACAGGCCCTGGCTGGTGCGGGGGGGGCATTGGGGGGGGGAGGAAAAGGAAAAAAAATATTAAAAAATTAAAAAAATTAAAAAATTAAAAAAATTGGAGAATTCCCCCCCCCTCTGCCAGGAGACTGGC